TATTTGAATGTGTGAAGTTTCACTCTCTCTCTCTCTTTTTTTTTTTTTTTTTTTCTAATTTAGTGTTTTTACTATATTCATCCTAAAATGGTTGTTAAATTAACATATTAGCATGCTGACATGTACGTCACGAAGTCAAAGTGGCGAGTATAATTTGTTCTTATATACCAATTTTCAATTCAACTTCTAAAACAAGAAGAAAGAAAAAAGAATAAAAAAATTGAGTTGAGGAAAGAATAAAAAGGAAATTTCAATTTCAATTCAAAAATCAAAGTAATCCAAGTATGGATTACTTGGAAAGCTACAAAAAAAAAAAAAAAAAAAAAAACTCTCAAATTCTTGCAAAGAATGAAAGATCGCATACTCATTTATAGGATATTTGATCATCTTGAGATGATTGGATATTCAAATTCATATTTTGCCGGTGTGTGATTCAAGAAAATCAACATTTAGCTACTTGTTTCTATTAGTTAGAGGAGTAATTTAATGAAAGAGTACGAAATAGTCCATCATTGTTGCTTCCACTATAAAAATTGAGTTCATGGCATGCTTTGAGACCATCATTCATGGATTGTGATTGCAAAATTTTTTTATTTCAAAACTTGGGATTGTCGACAATATTGTCAACTTCCCGAAAATTTATTTTGATAACTTTGAATTAGTTTTTTCTCTATAAATGATAGGTATTATAAGAATATTAAATAAATAGAAATTAAATACTTTGCCGTTAAATAAGAAGTTCGTAAAGAAAAAAAAAGTTAGTTGAGTACATTAGTACAAATCTTATGATTGCAAATCTTTTGAGAAAAGGGTTAGCATCTAAAACATTAGTGAACATGTTCAAAGGATGGACATTATTTGAGCTCATTGATGATATTGCGCTATGTTTTTATTACGTTTATATATTTGACACACGAGCTCATTTTTATGTTTCTAATATTTCATATTTTCTATTTGATATACATAATTGCTTTAAAATAATATTGACGAAACAGTTTTATAATAAAGCCATTGAAGTTGGATAATTACTATTCTTTTTATAAATGATGTAAAGTTAAAAGTTAATGTTGTGGTGTAAAAAAAGAGACTATGTCGAGAAAATAGCATATAATAGTCCGACTTGCATTAATATTTCAATTTGATAATGATAAACATTATAGCGATGTAAAAGCAATATCATATGGTTCAAGTAAGAATGTAAAATTATTTATGGCTTATATGATACATGTATCTAAAATATAAAACTAATTGTGATCTATATGATACATAATATTTAAAGTGTTTCTAATTAATTAATATACACGATATTCATTATGATATATGTATTGATTATAATACAATATATTTAAAGTGTATCTTATTAATTATAATGTATATAAATAATGATGATACATGATCAAACCTCGATGAAAAACTTAGGTTAAGGCTATAAAATAAGGCGTCCGGTCCTCTCTCAACCTCTTAATGTCAATAACAAAAAAAATAAAAATAAATAAATAAATTGAAGGTTATCATAGTTTTCCATCATTAAAAAAGAGATCAAGAGAGAGTCTTTCTTCATCTATTTTCTGCTTCTGAGTATTTTTCAAAGATCTAAATAAATTAAGGTATGTTTTATTTTCAAATTATGTGAAAAATATGAAATTCTAAAATTTATAAGAATGATGAATATAATGAATTTATATCTTAGTATTCTGCATCATTGCAATTTTATTCTTTCAAGTACGAACTCCGAAACAAAAAGTAAAAATATTTTTTTGTTAAATTATAATAGTTGCGTGAGTGCTTCTATATATTACACTATTGGCTTTCTATACTTTCCAAGACATAAGTGATGACAAGAGGGGTATAAAGAAGAGGTTCTGTCCTTGGAACAAGACCCATCACCAACCAGTATGAGAGTACTATTAAATATATTTGGAAGAATATATATAATAGCCAGAACATATTACTATGTCATTTAAATTTTCAGGGCAGCAGAACTGAATCAGAAGTCTGAACTAACTTGTTTGTTTAATTCTTCTGATCTGAGCAATATTGCTTTGACTGCCTTAGCTAGCTAGCTACTAGCAGTATAAACTGTATGGGCAAAACTGTTGTTTATTACTATCTGGGTGATGATAATTGTGCATTGACAATAAGTAGTGGGCAACAAGTCTTAATACTCCCATGTGCCCTCCTTTCAATCCATATTTTGCTAATTTTATGTGATACCATTAGATCTCTGTTTAGTTTCAGCTCCAACGTACGAGTTCTCTATTTTCAGTTCCAATTCATTGTGCCGACCCTGCAGGTCAGGATCGATATGCATCTCTCTCTCTCTCTCTCTCTCTCTCTCTTCTCCCCCGTATTCTTACAGTATTTTTAAATGCCTGAATATGCTAGTCAGTTTCGAGATAATCTTGATAGCCTGTTTCATGACTTGATCCTTTAAGGCTAATTCACCTCTACCTTTCGGGAAAAATAAAAAAATAATAATCAACAGTTGATTATTAATTACCTCTTCTGTCTTAAAATGGTTGTTATCTTTTTTATTTATATTTGTTTTAAAGTACTTGTGTGATTAAAACATTAAATATTATATTTTTCTAAAATATCATTGATAAAAAAAAAATCAATTCTTTTTTTTATTTTTGATTCTTTACTAACAAAAAATTTATATTTTTTCTTTATACATACAAATACCTTTAAATAAAGTTTTTTTTTCAAAAAAATTATTACATAAAAAATATTCATTCTTATAAAAACTTTACTGTATATTGAAATTTTGAGAATAAAATATTTTTATTGGTATGTTATTTTTTCATAATTATTTTAACTTGTCGTTTATTAACTTAATGTTTTTTTCTTTGATTAACACCTTAATTTTGGATAAATTTTCTCTTTAAAGTAATTTTGATTCTTTGTAATGTAGGATTAAATTTGATAACTAATAATATTAATAAAAAATATGAACAAAAAATTAATATGACATAATAATTAATAACTTCTTAAAATTGTATCAAAAATAGAAAAAAAAAGACTTATATTTTTTTAGATAAAAAAGGTATTGTTAATTTTTTTTTAACAAAAGAAATATTAAAATTCGAAATCTTTTGAGAGAGATGAGATATTAATGACATTTGAATTATAATTATTTGTTTGATATTTTCTTCATAACTTTCTTCAAAATAGCTTCCACAATAACAATATTAAAAATGAACCTGCTCTCACAATTTTGCAACCAAGATTTTTTTTTTTTATTTTTTTAACACGGATGGTATTTTTTAGGCGAGTTTTTCTGTAAACTCGATGGTCGAGATTAGACAAGTCTTTTCTTCTTTTTTTCCGACCGAGTTTTAGATATGAAGCGAATCGAAGGGAAAAAAAAGCCCTTCACTTTTATTTTTGAATTCAAATCGTCGATAATAATTTGGGAAATAAATCCCCTAGCTGCCTGAGCAATCCACCGAATAATTATTTATTATTATTATTATTTTTTCCCCGGTTTTAGGCAGAGTCTGCGTCTTTTAATTTGGTGGGTGCTTAGTATATAATTTAAACAGACACACACTTCAAACGTGGAAAGATAAAACACTGACGTCGTCATGCTAGTTGATCCTTAGTCGCTGCCCACTTCCTTCTTGTCTTCTGGTTCGAGGAAGTTATGGCCATCATGTTTTTGGACCTAACAACAATATTGTTATATATAACACACCACACTTGTTGATGACTAATATCGTAGTGGCTTGTACAATTTTTTGTTTAACTAATAAAGATTTTTGTAACATAAATCATCAACAAGAAGCTAAAAATATATTCTCCCACCTTTGAGTCCGACAAGAACTAACATCACGCTTGCACTCTCTAGAATACCTAGCCACAAGACACGTCTAATCTGTAAACTATAGGAGTGTGTACGACATTAACATGTTGATGGATGTGGACATTGGATTAGCCAGTGTTTTGCATAACTTTAGCTGTAATGGGGTCAAACTAATGTTTAAGATGAAGATTATTGACCACTAAGACTGCAATAATTTGGAATTTTTTTAGAATTGAATTTGTCAATCCAATTTGAATCACAAGAGATCATACTTTTAAGAAATCAGAGAAAACATAAAATTTATGTTCTTCATCTGTTAACTATGACCAAAAAAATTCGATAAGGAAGAAGACAGATGGGAAACAATTTTTGGTTTATTGTCAATCATGACATTTTAGTGGCCTACTTTCAAAATGATTATGAAATGTTAATTGTGCAAACATTGACTTTTTCTTCAGGTTCCCTTCAACACCAAATAACCCATCTTTGCCTCTTTGGGGGTTCCCCTTTTTCTTTTCTTTTTTGAACCTTTTTTTTTATTTTTTTTGCTTATTATAATCATAAGAAACAAAAGCGACACGCCGTTGACTTAAAATCTAATCCACATGTTTATTTAATCTTTAATCTTTAACCAAAAGTCCAACTAAAGCAAAAGCTTTTAACAAGCAAAAACAAAAAACCTCAAATAAAAAAGTCATAATCAAAGCTGCCATTGCCTTTTCTTTTCTTTTTAAAGATCCATAACATAATTGTTTCCATATTTATTTATAGAAAGAAGCTACTTCTAACAATAACATTTTAAAATACTAGTAACGTCATGAGATATCCAAATTCAAATAAAAAAAATAAAAATAAAATTGCAAATAATAAAATAAAAAATTTAACAAGACCTAATCCTTTTTAAAACATAAACAACAATAGTAAGTAGTTCTTGGGATTTGGACAATCTTGTTACTTTGTTCTTGTTGTTGGTATTTGGTGCTGTAGTTGAAGTTAGCTTAACCAAAGTCTACGTAAATACGGCGTCGTGTCAACCGCTGATGCTTTGGACCCCCTATTTTCGTAGACTTTGAAACGGCAGTTGAATCCCACACGTCACACTCTCCGTCTTCTTTTCTTTGGACCTTTTTCTCCCTCAACTTTTTTATTGTTTACTCTACAGTAAAAATTCCGATAGTCAGTCAACGCCGTTAAATCACGGCTTGGAAACGGAAGCAGCATCTTTCACAGCACCACCATCACCTCCACCGTTACCCATAGTAGCTGACTGGACGGTCAAAACAGACATGCTTGGTGAGGTTGGCCCTTCACCGTTGGATTGGAGCAACGGGTGGTGATTGTTGTTGTTGATAACGGGGGTCCTGTTATGACACGTGGCAGTCGAAATAGCAGTTGCAAGTGAGATGGGCATGAGACAAAGCCCTTTGCCTTGTAAATACTGCATGGCTGAGCCCATATCCTCTTCCATCAACTTAGCCACCTGGTGCTCCGTCACCGTTAAGCCGTTGTCGTTAGTTGATGCCGTTTGGTTGCCGTTAGAGGTACGCGTGAGAGACCCACCATTAGTGTTGGCTTGGATACAGTCACCACCAGCCTACAAAGAAAGAAAAAAACAGCAAATGTTGTTTAGTTTATGATTGTTTGTCAAGAGGAATCTGATAAAAAAGAGATCACGCGTGCTACTTTTGTTTTTGTCGTGTTGTTGTGATTGAGGGATTTTGGGTCTCTGGAATAGACTGGTGCGGTGGCGATAGATGTGGGCGTGGCTGGGATTTCACATTATACATATATATATATATATAATATTTCTTCTTCTTCTTCTTTTTTTTTAGAGGTTTGTGTATTTTCACTATAGAAAAACTTTGGTTTTTAATATGCTTTACATGTTTTTATCGTTTCCTTCTTTTTTCCCTATTTATTTCTATATTCCTTTAGAAAAATCTCTTTGCTTAAACAAGAAAAGAGTACATGGGCTCTTAATCTTGAATCTAAGAAACTGTATATGGATGTTTAAAAGATTACCTCAGAGGACATATCAGTAACAAGTGGGGCAACAGCAGCTGCACCGCCTAATCTGCTCATGCTCAAGACCTGTGTGTACCCAGCAGAAGCAGAAGGAAAACAAAAGAGGCAATAATTAGCCAGCAAGAACACTTTATTGTTATTATTAATGATTTGATTAATTATAAAAAAAGCAGCAATGAGTGATGGAATATTAGTTTGGTAAATGTAGATACACACATAACACTAAAGTAGATTTAAAAAACCACATCTTAAAGAAAATATGTCAACCAAACAAGGGAATCAATTAAATTATTATAAAATTAAAACTTGAAAAAGAAAAAAATAAAGTTCAGTTAGAGAAAGATGGATGGGAACCTTGACTTGGAGCTGGAGGAATTTAACGTAGTCGATGATCTCATCAAGCATTGAAGCCTTGTCTGTCTGTCATTCCACAAAAAAAAACCCCTTCATTACAGAATTCTTAATCCATAATTAATTTAATATATTCCTACTTAATTACTAATAATCGTCATGATTATCCCCTTAATATTCAAATTAAGTAGGCAGAATAAATATCCCGATCCATTCGCCAAGCATTGCGGGTGTTGATTGGAGTACGGTTCGGGACCAACTAACCGACATTTGCTTCATTTTTTTTTCCGAAGTACAAAAGGAAAAATGAAAAACCAAAAAAGGGGTAAACAGACTCTAAACGAATTTCAAGAAATACAGTGGCAGGTACTCTACAAGTAGAAAAATGATAAAAATCTGAGTGGCAGTTACTAGAAGGAAAGGAAAATCAGTTCAGTTTTTGTTTTGGTTCTTCCTTAGTCAATCAAAGCAATAAATGATTTTAAAGAGATATAAAAGAGCAAGTACTGTAATTATTTGTTCTTGTTTACCTTGTTGGCATTAGGTACCAACTCTTGCAGAGCTTTCATTCTTTCTGCAATTCTCTCCCTTCGTAACTGCCCACCAAAAAAAGAAAGAAACACCCATCAATTAATAATTTTAGTACTACATAGAAACTCAAGCGGCGGTACAATAATGTTTACTAATTAATAGAATATTGTAATGGTAATATGAGAGAGAAGAAATGAAGAAGAGTACCCTTTCAGCTATGCTATGTGGATCAGTGGCTTGACCTCTTCTAGCCCTAACCCTTTGTCTAGGTTGAGCTGGTGTACCGCCATTCGAGCCACTTGCTTGAGGTTGGTTCATCACCGCCGTGGTGGCTGCCCCTTGAGCACCAAAGTTCTGTGACTGCATAGCTCCTCCCTGTAACACAGCAATCATTTCAGATATAATTGGACAGAATAAATAAATAAAATGTGTACAGAATATGAACAGAAAATCTGAATACATACCTGAGGATGATTAAAATGTTGCATGGACTGGTTCGGTGCCTGAGCAGTTCCGTTCATAGATCCAGCGCCAAATCCATTAAACAGTCCTTGCATTGAACCATCTCCTCCCTGAAGTACATATAAAAATATAACAAAAATTAATTAAACAAATAATATCAAGGGAATTTAATAAAATTCAGTCCCAAGTTGCTCTGGTTCTTAATAAAAAAAAAATTACCGAGTTGAATGAAGATGAAAATCACCTGAGTGGTAGACTTAAAGGAAGAACCATCCATGACGTCGTTTGGAGAGAGCCCGCCTCTGGCAGCAGCCATCAGAAGCTGCTGCTGTAGCATCATTTTAGCAGCGGCCGCAGCAGCAGCACCATTACCACCACCGCTGATCTGGTGTTGTCTCAGCTTAGAAGCCAAAATTACAGACTCGTCAAAGTTATTAAGAAACTCAACGTTATTATTGTCAGTATTAGATGGTGCTGTTTCATCAGACAAGTCTCTAGGTTTGGCTGAAGAGTTGTTGTTATTCATGGGCACAGTGAGGTTTGTTGGGGGGTTAAGGTCCCAAGGAGACTTGAGGTCAGCCCAAGAACAAGAAGAAGGGATTGTAGACAACATTTGTTCAAGAAAATCATCATGTGATGATGAATTGGGATCAAAGTGAGAGTGTTGGATCTGTTGGTTTTGAAGGTCTTGGAGAGGGATTTGCGACGATGAGTTTAAGAGTGAGTTCATCCCTTGCATTTCTCTACTACAAGGCTGCATCTTTTTGAAACAAAATAGAGAGAGTTAAGGATTGGGGGTTTTGTGGGATATTTGAATTGGGGTTTTGTTCAAGGGGATGGAAAATGAGAAGGCAAGAAGTGTGAAGGCATTTGGGTTTTGGAATGTTTATTTGGTGAAGAGCGAAGCGAGAGGTGATCTCTTCTTTCTAACTCGCTGTTTCTTTCTTCTTTCCTTCTACGTTTGGAATTGGGGGATATTAAATAGCAAAAGTTGAGCTTCTTTGTTCGGGTTCGATTAGCTATCCTTTGTTTTCTCTCTATCCTAATGAGGGAGTTAGTGTGATAGTCTTAGTAGGGTTAACCGAGGACTTAAGCTTTCTACAATGGTCACAGTCCATGATCACGCGTGACTTCCACTTTCTTTATTTTCAGCCCAGACCGTTTCTTTTCTTTTTTCCTAAGACATACTTTTTTGTTTCACTTCCATAAGAGAGCCTTTTTCCCCCCTTGACCCAATAAGTGACATGCTTGTGATTGTTGCCTCATTTGAAGCGTTTCTTTCACACGTGTGGACTCCTGAGTGCTGACTATTTATTCTTAATTTTAATTTTTTTTTTTTTTTTTGTTTTTTGTCATGTGTGATCATATGTTGTGGACTGAAATTCATTTATCTATATGTCATTTATGTCATTTTACGTCATCTGAACTTAGAAATTTTGAGCAACAAATACCTCTTATGCTAATATATTTATCAAAAACTTAATTTATTTATTTTTCATTCATTTTAAAAGAATTTATTAAAATAATTAAAATGTCTAAATTCATAGTTTTATAATATAATAAGCAAAAAAAACCTCTTGTGATTTAAAAAATTTATTATTTCACTTCCATCGTCAAATTATTAATTGCATTCAAATGATTTAAGGTCTTTGTTTATTTTCTAATATATTGGGTTGGGGATTAGGGAAGTTTACCTCGGATGAACATCATTTTTTTCTTTTAATTACCAAAATAATAGAAATAATAATCATTTTGCTTAGAAAGGCTTACATAAGCGTTACATATGTATTAATAATGACCAAGTTTCTTTATTTTATATTAACTCAGATATATTATGATGAATAAAACAAATATGCTTTATTAAATTGTTAGTTCTACATTAATATTTTGGTTAAATAAGTCTAACAATCTTTAAACTTTAATTCATTTGAAATTGATTTTTTGAACTTTAAAACTGATTTTGAAGATCTTTAAATTTAAAATTTTTTGAGATCTAATTTATGGGTTAGTTTTTTATTAAAAAAAAAATCCAAAAAAAAAACCCCAAATTAAAACTTCTTATATTCAAAAATGGTATGGAAGGAAAGGGAGAAAAAAAAAGAAAAAGAAAAGGGAGAACACGGAGAGGGGGAGAGAAATGAGAAAGAGATGCAAAAAATTAATCGATGAGCTAGATTTTAAAAAGTTTAAAATTCAGTAATGTTCAAAAAATTAATCGATGTGCTAGATCTTTAAATTTTAATTTTTTTTAAATCTAATTTATGTGTTAGTTTTTTATAAAACAATATCCAAAAAAAATTTTCAAAATTAATATTTCTTATATTCAAAAATGGTATTGAAGGAGTGAAAAAGAAAAAGGAGAAAACAGAGAGAGGGAGAGATAAGGAAGAGATACAAAAAATTAATGCATGTGCTAGATTTTAAAAAGTTTAAAATTCATTAATGTTTAAAACTAATTTTAAAGTATAAAAATTTAATTTCAAATGAATTAAAACTCATGAATAGTTAGACTCATTTAACTTGATATATTTAGAAGGTTTTTTTTTTTTTTTTTTTTGATCTTTTTTAAACATGTACAATAAAGACATTCAATTAGTTAATTTATTTTCATAATTAAGTAATGGTTATAATTGGACTTCGGCCATTATAACTAATTAAGAAAATTAATGAATCTTAATTTTGTTTTTTGTTTCATTTGTAAAGAACAGTACTAATTAACAATACTCGAGATCGGTTTTCTAATTTGTTTATGAACAGGAAAAAAGAAGGAAGAAAAAAAAGCTATTTAAGTGGTTTCCAAGCTCTCATTCCTAGCGTGAACTGACCCTTCCACAATCACTTCCTAAGTCCCGCGTGGTCGGCTAGTCCATCACGGTTCACTTTCAACCGCGTTGCTCAATCCTAATTAATTACCCTTTTTTGTCATTGTTCGAAAATGTGGCATAACACGCGACTAATTACTGCTAATCAACATCCTAATGACACCTGTCAACAACTCGTAAGCATTAATTACTATCCTTTCCTGATCTGATCACACAAAAGCACGAGCTGTCCCTCTGAAGTGTCAACCAAATAAAGCGAGTTTGCTACTTACCCTATTCGTGCGAGTATTAGCTGTTTTGCCTAGCTTCCTTCCTACTTTCCTCATTTTTAGCCGCCACATTCATATTTTAGTTTTTTTTTTTTTTTATTGCCCCAATTTCGCCTCCTATTAATTCGAGACCGTTGGCTAATCAACTACTCGAGCGGAGAAAGCATTGCGCTAATTAGCCTACCAAAAGGCGAAAAATTGGTCCAATTTTTCATTTTTACTTTTATTTTTAATAATGGTCCAGATTTTTTTTTAACCAACCAAATTATGCAAATTACAGTACGTCCTCGTGACCAGGGACCTAATTGAAAAAAATAAAAATAATAGTTGTTTTTTACGGATTCATATTGAATTTAGAGATGTTTGGAATTGGGTCCAAAAACTGTAAGGGGATGTAATCTCATATTATCGTTTTGTATACAAATTTGATATATATAAAACTTTAAGGAATACATATTATCTAATATAAATAAATTTTGTAGTAATAGTTGAAAATGGGCAATATCATACGTGATTGTGTCATATATGCACGATCGTGTGTTGCATTTATCACCAATTAAAAGCGAAAACTTTGTGAAGAATTTTTGTGGTTCAATTCAATTTGGTAGTACGAGTGACAAAAAAAAAAAAAAATCATCCAATCAAACACATTGAAATTTCTTCAAACAATATCAGCTGATCGAAGCCTGAGGTGAGTGCATGTCCTTTAGGACAGCATGTTTGACTAAAGAAGAAGTAGTAGTAATTGAAATGTGCAATTGTTGTTGTGCCAATTGCTCCCAACACATAATTCTGCACTTGAATTATCAAAATGTATTGTTAACTTATGGATATGATTAGGGTAAGGAAAAATTTTTGTATCAACAAAAACCTAGCTACCTAGCTACTGCTTGCGAGGCATATAGTAATGCCAAAAAAGGGGATTTTCTTCCATTGCTTCGGTGATAATCATTCCCTTTGTTTTAAAGAATTTGTATGCTTTTACTTTCCATATAAATTAAAAATGTTATTAATTATTACAATATAGGGCACTTTGAATGCAAAACAATTCCCAATGTTCCAAAGCATTCAGTTAGACACATGCAATTAATTACAAAATACAAGAGTAATTAAATCCCTCAAAATCTCAGATTTATGCTATGTGTAGCATTTCAACCATATATTATACACCTGCTGCATAGATTAATTTACTAAATACAAGAGTAATCAAATCTCTCTCAATCTTAGATTCATATATGTGATGCACAACATTTCAACCATTAATTATGTATTTTCTACATAGCATAATGTAAGATTTTTTTTTATCTTTAAGATATCTTAAAGTTAAAGACTCGGACTAGTCTCTCGTTGCTTTGTTAGATATATAAGAAAGAGATAACTATTGGAAGAATTTTCTACGTGTGTAAGAATTAGAATACAAAACTATTTATTTAAATGATTAAGTTTTTTTTTTTTTTTTTTTTAATTCAAATCAATCCACTTAGATATAATGTAAACGTTTTTAAAAGGGTGAATACATTGTATACTGGCTTTCCTTAGTTAATTTATTCCACCATACCAGATATAGCAATCATTAATTCTGTCTTCAAAATGCATGTGAGTGCTTCGTGCGCTTAGTTTGCATAAGCAGAAAATGATATATTTCCCTACGAGATATCAACACGAAAAGAATTCGAGTCCATCATTCTCAGGTCCATTTTTGAATACCTTGAAATCATGAATCTTGACCTTCATATATTTTGCATTTCTTAGTCCGAATTAAATTTAATAAATTCTTTAATTTCCAATGCGAATATCTTAATTTACATACTTCTTTAGTCATGCATGTATAAAGGCTCCTACCTAGCTATATTATATAATTAACCAAATATTGGTATACATAAAAAAATAATCTACAAATTAAAACTTATAAATTGTTACCGTTGAGAAATTATATGGATCATGTTGAAACAATTGAACTTTAGCCAACTAATTAAATGGTATGCTAAAACAAGAGAAGCACTTGAAAATATATCACTCGTGGAAACAAGAAAAGAGGAAGAAAGGTTATTATCAAAGAAAAAGGAACAAAAATTAGCAATAAAATCTCTTCAACCTCTCTGTCGAATCTCAGTAAATTAAAAATAAAAGGAAGCAAACCCCAGAATGAACAATTAAAAAATAATTTAAAAAAGAAGTAAAATATATGTAAATTAAGCATCGATCATATCTGATCAGTCTCAACTCTCAAATGTATGAATGGTCTTCACATATTTTAAATGTTTTTATATATTCACTCACCAATGCATCTGCATGCATATTCTTGAATTAATGTGGTTGGTGAAAATACGACCAAACCAAAAGAAGTGCGATTGTGATTCGATTGATGGAGGGTTCAAGATCAAAAAGAGATCTAATTTGTACCAAAACGTATGTTATTATTATTAATTCCAATTTTCATGCTATGTTAGTTGTTCAAAACCCATGTTCATTGCACCATATCTTGGATTACAAGGCAGGGAAATCTCAGAAAATAATTAATGAATAAGTTCCACAAGTATTCATTACATCACAAACAAAGTCCTTAACTTCATCTCGAACTGACTAAATGGGGATTAGAAAGACATGCTACTATATATGCATTAATCCTTCATCATTAGTTGCCAGTCCATGATAAGTTTCCAAGAAATATCCCTTTGAATATTCTCTCAAATTCATCAAACCCTAACAACTAATTACTCACCATAAAACTACTTTAAAGTGCAATATTTTGTGCAATCATTAATGGATTCTGTGTCATGCATGTATTGAAGAGGTGAAGGCGGAACTTGTTTATAGGTTTCCGACATGGCTGAACAAATGGGATATTCTTAGTTCCACTGTATATGGTTACACAAGCACACAAAGGGCATTGTTTAAGATCGTTGTCAGCATCGATTGTTTGCTTAATATATATATATACACACCGGTCGGGTCATCTACAGTGGATAATATAGAATGTTATGTTCTCAATAAGGACCAACGTGTAGCTTTGGGGCACCATTTTTTTCTTTTTTCTTTTTTTCTTTTTTTGGTTCTTTGAGAATTTTTATTTTTCTCCTCGTTGTTTGAATGGTTAGGATTTATGACACAGTATGGCAGCTCATCATCAGGTGGTAAAAAGCATGGTTTGGGGTTGGAGATTTTGGCTCTCTATTACATGGAAAGATGATTTCTTCAAATGTGCAAGCTGAAAGTGATATTAGACTAATCGGGAAATTAAAACAAGGTTACTTCTATTTTATTTGTACTATATATATAATATTTAATTAGCATCATGAGAAACGTTTTAATGCATGGAAATTCTATCTTCTTGTGACTAGAAAACGAGATCTTCTAACATAAAAGAATGAGAGGGGTATATGAGCTGTGATCTTGTTCTTATTTAGTAGTAGTGGTACAAATATAACACGATATATTACCTATAATCTTGACTTTTGAGAGGATTTCGTAAGATACAGTGAGTGATTGTTTCTTCTATATTGTGATAAAATGAATATGGTGTCATAGAGCTACCCTAGTTTCCAGGATCAGAAACGCCAGGAACCGTTAGAGCTTTTTCATAGACATATATATGTCATGATTCACATAATAATTATTAAATAATCATATACTATTAAAACACTTGTGATATAAAATCATCATTCTAATTCCTTATATGTACACGATTAAGCAGGTAAACTCAAACATGCATGTATCATAAATCATATGTCGCCGAAAAGGTCCAAAAGATATTTAAGTATTATTAGGGGAATTCTTGCTAGAAATATTGAAGTAATAACTTAATTAGATAAGGGCTAACAAAAGCGCTTCAAGATAATCAAAGTAAAGGGTAAATGTCCTTGTTATCAAGGTTTTTTTTTTTTTTTTTTTTTTTTTTTTTTTTTGCCTTCAAGGTTGATGGCAAATATGGAAGTAATATATAATTAGTTTAATCCATAGAATTATGAACAAACCATAATTAATCCTCACATCATGGCTCATATCTCGATTAGAATCTAGTTTCTAAAGAAATTTTATTTCTCAGTTGAATTTTTAATAACCCATTTTTGACTCGCCGTTTATTTTCATACAACATTAATTTTTTTTAAAAAAAAATTGAAATGTTGCATAGTTTGTCTTTTTCATGATTTGTAGGCATTTTTATAAGTTTCTAGGATTTTAATTTCTTAAAGTTATTCTCCATTTTTAATTGAAAAAGAAAAATAAAGAGAAAAAATAATTAAAAAATTGAGAAAATGATTTGAGATCCAATTGAAATATCGTGAAAAGCGAGGACCAAGTGACATTCAAATATAGATATAACTAGAAAGGGATAAAAATTAAGGAACTTGATTGAGAAATTAATCACTATGAAATTAAATGAAATAAAAAAATATATGGATTAAACAATTTTAATTGAGGAGATAATTGAAGAAAAATAATGGAATATACATTGAATCTATTATTATTTCACAATATAAGATACATTTATAAAAATTTAATAAATTTTCATAAATACCGACTCTAAAATTTTAATTCAAAAAATAAAATATATTTTTTTAAGCATCAAACCAATTTATCAAAATTACTTAGGACAAAATAAAATAATTTTTAATTAGAATTTTTTTTAAAGTCTCATGAATGTTGGGTAGCCACACAATTTATACAGATTCAGAAACTCTCATTAATTAAATCCCTCCATGATGTTCATTAATATGTTGATCTGTCAATTGGATATTGAACAAGAAAACAATTTTCTAGTTTTCATCTTCACTTTATATTTTTATTTCTTAAAAAGCATATTAATTTACTTAATGATAAATGTTTAAAACTGAACACAAGATTTTTGTTTTGGATTGTTTTCAGAATACTAAATAATAATAGATTAAATAAAAATGTGTGAACCAAACAATACCTTAATTATTTACTAAAGTAGAGAATTTGAAAATCAACCTTCAGTTATTTTCATAATTTTTAGAAAATGAAAAACTCTTGTTCCTAAAAACAGTAATTAGTAAATGCATTTTCCGCAACGATTTTCCATTTTCTAGAAAATTTGAAAAGTTCTCGACAATCTGACAGATTTTTTTTTCTTTGGATTCTAGTTAGTTTTTGGGAGGGAGTACTTTAAAGTAAGAAACTTTATCTTACTACATCAAACAATTCGAGTATTAGAGAAAAAGCTAATTAACTGCAAAAATCACCTTATTTGCACGGCATTGAGAAGCCTCTTTCTTTGAGTTTGATCTAATTAAAGTCAATAAAGGATTTATTCTGCTTACAGAATTTCAACTTTGTTTTCCTGTTCAAAATCACTACTGATCGACTTTTGAGAAAGTTACAGAAGTAAATTTTTTCCTCACCGTGCAAATTCCCACTTTTGCCAACACATGATTTTGATGAAGGAAAAACAACATTCCTGAATTTTGCAATAATTAATAGATGGGATTACGTGAGATGCCAATTAACTTCCCTATCACCTTAATTTGAAACTGCACAGTGATTTGCTTTCTTGTATCAGCAATCGTGTGCCCTATAAAGAGATCGTGATGTTTAGGATTAATTAGGTTGTTAAAGCAGGATTAGCATTATATTTCTGTCAAGACATGATTAGACTCCACATGTTGAAATGTGGGTTACACATTATATTCGTATCACTAAGAGTGTGAAATGACTAAAATTAAGTAGAAAAAGCGTTTTGCTATGACTAGAAATAGCTTTAGCTAGCATAACAAAGGCACATTAGCTAGGCCAAAAAACTTATTGCAGGTATATGTCCTTGTCTTGTACCAAGCCCACCGGCACCTTTCTTCATAGCTAGTTTTCTTCAGGTGGATAGCTAGGGTTTCTTTACACCTCAACCTACCTATGACGCTACACATATATTGGCAATCCATTAATGAAGATATAAACATGATTATCTTGTTTGTTTATATAGAGCGGTGGTCCTAATATATAGGTAAGCTATTTTACTCTGCCTTTGTAACCTCCTGTTCCTAGCAACCTCATGCCTAGCAATATATAGGTACTTAATTTTGATATATTGAAATTAACATAGATAATAATCTACATCTAAAGTTGCTTATTTAGAAAAACAAACCTAGTTATCAACGAAATGAAGAAGCAATGTCAGGCTACTTAAATTGATACAGAATCCAGCTTTAATCATTCAAAGCAATACAAGTTGTAAATCACGAGAAATCTCCATGCTATTCTTTACAGTGTGTTGTACGTCGTCAACATCTTTTAACACCAACTTTTACATAAATAAAAGGAAACAACAAAGATAGTTTGCTTGCTAAGTAAAGTCATTTATATCAAAAAAATTTGATCACCTTTATTTGATTATCGCAAAGGAAACATTCTACGTTTTTCTTTCCCAAATTACTAATTAATCATGATTTAGTACCAAAACCTTGTTTTGATGGAGATTAAAATTAATTAAATGAGGTACTGTATTTAGCGAAAGATGAAAACAAACAATAGCATGCGCTTTTTTATCCAAAACTCCAATCTTAAATTCCAATTCTATTTTAGTCAATCAATCACACAGAAAAGCAATTATATGCCAACTCCAAAAACGGGTAAGTTAGAATCAGAATGGGGTATCTAATTTTCATTTCTAATCGAACATAAATGCTAGCTAAGTCAGCCTCCTTTTTGGTGCCCCATGTTAGCTTGTTTCTACGAAGAACCACCTTTGCTGCTTATTGATTTTACATCAACTGAAATGACTGGACGCATCTCTGCCAACTTTCATATCGACCAAAATAAACAAAATTTTTATTTTTAGTACCTTTCATTTGTTAATATATTTTGTTTGTTTTCCATTGTGAATTCTTTTTATTTATTTATTTTTCATGAAAAGTATTTCTTAAAAGAGAATATTGCTATCCCTTTGTTTTTTTTTTTTTTTTTTTTTTTAATGAAGTTTTGTGACAAGCTTTTCATATCATTAGCCCATTTAAGAGAGAAAAACCTTACAATCTCGTTACCAACTAAATTAAAGTTAATTAACCAATTATAATGGTAGAATATTGCTTGATATCGTTAAATATACATGTTAATTGATCCAAATAGAATGTTTTAATAGTATTAAATTATAAATTATAAATTATAATTTTATTTAATTATAAAAGTAAAGCATTCTATTTGTGTCAATTACCGCGTCCTTAAAGCATATGTTAGAAAAATCCTTTAGAAAGTACACATTAATTGGTAAATTTTATTTCTCTATATTAATTGACATGTAAAATTTTTCGCTTTCATAATCGAGTAGATTCACTTCTATAATTGCGGGAAATCATAATTTATTATTCAATATTATTAATTATGAGAATTAAAGCATTCCATTTACATTAATTAACGTGTATTCTTAATTTTTATTGTGTTGTAATCCAATATTATTAATTGAGAAAAATACACTTTTACCGTCAATTAAGACAAATAATTGGAATTTATTGAGAGGTGTTTGTTTAGTAAACTCTAGATTTTCTTTTCTTTCTTTTTTTTTTAATTTTAATTTTTTTTTTCTTTTGGTGTGATTAGAAAAGAAAAAGAACGAGAGGAGAATTTGAAGTAGACCTTCCAGATCGTACGAACAGCTTATTCCCATAAAGTACACAAGCTCATATGTAATTAAAGCCCCACTTAATAGTTGTTATGAGGCAAAAGATCATCTCAATCTTATATTATATTCCATATAATCATTTCTACATCTCATACTAATTAATACTACTTTAATTAAGAGAAAGAATAAAATACTTGGAAAGAAAAAGATAAAGTTGGGAATATCATCAGACGGTTGAGAAATAATCAAACAAAATATATTATATTGTATTGCATAATATAATCCAAATGAATTATGCTAATAATAAATCATCTACAAACTTTCTTTGGGCTCCACAAATTTGACTTACTATAAACTATGAGTTTCTTCTCTGCAAGTTGCAACCAATTACAATGAAAGAATTAAACAATGTGTTAAAAGATAATGTAATTAAAAACAAGTTGGGATCGAAGAAAGTCTTAAACAATAATTTTTTATTTTTATTTTTTTATATTAAAGTTTCGATATGAGCTCTTATTTATTTATTTATTTTGTAAAAAAAAAAAAACCACAAGAAGGGATACTTATATTAACTTCGACACGTTTTTCATGTAATTTAAGTTTGAATCTAAAACATCAATAAATAAAATATATCTTTTTAATCATCAAATCAATCTCTTGAAGTTATCTTTCATGTGATTTAAGTTTAAACCTAAAACATTAATAAATAAAATATATCTTTTTAATCATCAAGTTGTCTATCTATGATGGTAATAATAATACTTATATAATATTGGGGAACAACTTTTTAGTTTTTATGAAGAGAACAAATGGACGAATTTGAACAAATTAACCGGCGTGATGGGGCTCGTAGTCGTGGGTCGGCTTGAATTAGTTAGCCGGAGGTGTGAACTAAAGAGTACATGTTTTCTCTCTTAGAATCAAGAGATTTGTTAAAGAATTTGGGGTATTCATCAAACCTACCATCAAACGAGTTCGGATTATCAATTTTATCACTAAACTAATTTGATTTTTCAATTAAAAACTTATGTTAGAATTACTTAACACAAAACAAGTAAATTCCTTACAAATGATGTTGTGTCTTACACATACACGCCCAAAAAAAAAAAAAAAAAGAAGTATAATTAACATAATAACATGGATGAAAATCTTTAAAAATTTGGTAAAAGTTAGGTGAAAAATTTGTTCGATAGTAACATTGACACCACCCATGCAGTTGGATGGCATTTCTAAGATTTGCCTTAGAATTATCTCATCACCTTGAAAATTTGTACCACAAAAGTTGTTCAATCAAGCATGCATTTCAAACTAGCAAAGTTTCAAAAGAACGAAAGGGCTACAAAAACGAAATGAGACATTAGCATCACATGCGGTTTAAATCCTTAAGAGTAATTGCTCTACCTTGTGCTCTCGTCTTTTCTTATAGACCCACTGTTTTCTTGAATTGTCCTCTTTCTCAGCCCCTATAGCTCCTTTCTTACAAATTGCCACAAGTTGTTTGCTTTTTGATTCATTACTTATTCTAGCGCAATTCAACACTCGCATCTCCGAGGATTGATTGAGTTCGGAGGGCATTCTTATGCTATGAGGCTTCACAATTCTTTACATCATCACTTGACAAACTCCGTATTAGGACTAAAGGAGAACTTCGAAAACCTTGTTCAAAGAATACCAACATTTCTTTTTTGCCCTTATTTACTTGCGAGATCATATTTTTCGAGAGATTTTTTGAGGAAGATATGTTCGAGATTGTCGAAAATCATTCATCAAAAAGGAAAAAGAAGTCGACTAAAGAAAAGATATAAATTGTTGTAAAGAATCTAGTTATGACGGGAGTGCATCAAGTTCAGCATAAAGTACCTTACCTTAAAATTAAAAAACTTTAAATCCAAAATTGAATGTCAAGAAGTGCAATATTGCCAAAAAAAATTAAAAAAAATAAATAAATAACATATCGAAAAAGACAAAAAGAAGCGACTTTTTCTTTTCTTGGAAATTCATTGTTGACATCTTCGGAACAAAAGCTTCACACAATAAGGATATAAAACACAAAAGTCGGTACAAGTTTGCCTTGAACATTTTATTCCATTGCTATATGCTTGTAAATCCTCAATACTTTCATTGATTGAGGTTCTACAAGTATTTGGTGAACCATATATGAGCTGCAAGAACATTTATCATCACGAGGAGGAGGAAAATTCAAAGAATTCAGAATTTTTTTATTGGAGAAAACAAATGAATTAGTTTATGGCAATCAACTTAATGTCTTAACAGGGGAATCAAGTGGAAGCAACATGCTAGCATAATTGTTAACTCAAAAAGTGCATAACAAAAGATGTACAGGATAACCATATCATTTTATATCAACGAGTTCAAAGCCATAATAAAACTTAATTCTTTTACGGTTGGATTTTAATTAAAATTTTATTTAAAAATTCTAAAAAAGTATACCAACAAGAAACTATATTACAATGATTTAAACAAACAACTAATATGCTTGGAGAACTTACCGTAGACAATCATGTCCAAGGCACATTTGGTACCGATTTCAAACCCAAAATTTGTTCATGTCAAATTTCTAGTTGGGGTTGCTTTCCTAGTCAAAACATGATGAGTGCACAACTACCATTAATGAAGAGAATGTTAGCGTTTTCAAGTTGAAGCCGAAGAAAATGTCGGTGACAATGAAGTTACAAATACAAACCATAAATACATAGTCACACAACAATGAAAAGATACATACCGAGAGATTTCTAAGGATCTGTTACATTGAGAAATAAGAACAATGCGATTCAAAGCCTCGGATTTTTTCTCACATACACGAGCTACAATTTTACCATAACCGTCTAAAGGAAAGCCCTTGTATTTAACTATTTGCTGCATATAGGATTCAAGCTTGGATGCACAATTATCAATCACTCTCTCTCCTAGCTTCCTAGTGATAAGTAAAAAATCCTAGAGAAAGGATTTGAAAAATATAAAGGTATTTAATCATTACTTATTGAGACTAGTTTGTATAAGAATGTAAAAAAAGATGCTAGAATAAGCTCTCACCTTACTTGATTCCCATTCTTACACTATCTAAAAGTGGGGAGAGAAGTTACGGTGGAATCTCATCGATTTCCCCTAAGGTCGAATCATGATTAACCCCATAGATGAAAAAACAACATCCGGATGGTTTTCTCTAAAAATTGAAGGAATCAAATTCACAATATCAGCATCCATCTAATTAGACATAGAACAATAAAAAGTACTTCACCATATAGAAAAAAGAAAAGAAAAAAAAAACGAAGAAAAACTAAATCCATGACTCGGGGAACATTAACACAAGTTGTAGTGCCTCGCACTTCTATGATATAACCTTCACCACAATGGTGACATACAATTGGCTTGCCTTTCATATTTATCATGAGAATAAAGATCATTAAATACAAATCCAAAAATCATATTGCATGGGCACCAAATGTAATAATCTCATAAAGGGAGATGTAAATTGCCTACGGTGAAAATAAATTCTTGAACAACATCAGCACATTCTTATTGGAATCTAAACCTATGTCATACAATTTGAAAGAAAATATGCAATCAATATTTAAAATACAAGTATACTACAATTAGCGAGCAACGATTGGTCATAAGCTATTGCGAACAAGTTATACACCCTAACATTTATTGCCCTAATTATGTTGCTACAAGATAAGAAGCATCAAACTCTAAGTATTGACAAGCAAATTATATGCTTATAGCAACAAGATTACTTAGTTTACATGAAAGAAAAAAAATTATTTATAAACCATTATTTGAGGAGAAGGTTGTCATGACCTCGGGAGCATGTGGGCCATAATCGGTGCGAGAATTGAGAAAATTGTAAGGCCCATCTTGACTCAAACAATTCTTGAATACTTATATTATAATCGTCAAACCAATATCACCTCAATATCATTTCATTTGATAATATTCTTAACTAATATTCATTACATTGTATTTCCAACACAATTCATAATTTAATGCTATTCTCACATTTCTCAAAATCATATCCATAATTAATTTTCAAACAACACCCATAAGCTATAACCGCATAGCTTTTAAGAATACAATAAAATCAAACATAAGTTCTAAGAGATTACAAGGGAAATAAGTTGCATGGTCGGTGTGTTGATTTCAAACAAGCAATTGAATGGAAGCTAAAAGGGCAATTACACAAACTCTGTAAAATTAAAATAATAAGGGATGAGCAATCAACGACTTACTAAGTAGATACTATATAACACGTCTAAGGGAGTGAAACGGACTAAGGACGATAACTTAAAATTCACTCAAGATGCAACGCTAGTTTCTTCAAACCAATGCATATCATAAAATCAAATCATACATTACAACTTAAATGGTTCAAAACCATTTCATATCAAATCATCGAATCGTACATATATATTGTAATCATATCAAATTATATAGCTAGGTTTTTATTTACTTATGGAGTAAGAACGTATCATCGAATGTGAACACCCAAAGGTCACGCCCCGTGACTAGGTTTCGTATGTTGACCAACATACGAGCGAGCACTACACCTTTCTTGCTAGCTAGTGCCTCATATCGGAGCTTAAAGGCTACGTCCTTTTTAGCTAGGTTTCCTAAGGTCTCGAAAACATTTCGAAAATCTTATGAACTTATACATATTCAAAATCGGTATTTCAAACACATTGCATGCTCGGAATCAATTTGATACTACATCATCATATCAAATAAGCATTTATAAAAATTATATGGATAATCAAAATATCAATTTAAGATAAATTCGTATTCAAATTCATAATCACATATCAAATCAAGTAAAGCATTTGCTCAAACACATTCAAATCTTTTTCGAAATCATACCAATTCATATTCGATATGAAATCATTTTAATTGCACATGGAGTTCATTCCCGTCTATGTTCTAATGGATTTTTTAAATTATATTTAAACCAATGGTGCATGGTAGTATTATCAAAGGAATTTAAAAACACAATATGTTAAATAATATCTACTTACAAGCACAATGAAGAATC